CTGCGAAGGTTTGCTCTGTAATAGTTTTCGCCATTCATATGCATGCTACCGTTCCCGTTCAACCCAGACCGCGCTGCTCGCCCATAGCTACGATCCATTCTACTTGGCTGCACCCCTGCGGATCTCCTTCTACCATACTGTAACGCATATGGTGAGATGGCCGAGCGGTCCAAGGCGCCAGACTAAGGTTATAAGGTTCTATCTTGTGCCAAGGAAATCTGGTCTCTTCGGGGGCGGGAGTTCGAATCTCCCTCTCATCATAGCTTGATTCACTTGTAGGCTTTACAAGATTGAATCTTGTAAACTGTTTTTTTTCCCATGCAGGAAAATGAGATACAAATGGGAATCTTGATAACTCTTGTGTTTTTCTTTATGGTATGTACGTACTGCAGTGGAGATTCTAATTGAATTGCACCGCTGAGCACTCGGCTATGTCATCGAGGACTCAAACGTTCAAGTTCAGTTTTGGCGGCGTTGAATTCTTTGCGGTTGGACGCTGTTGGATGCGTTGCGGCACTGAATTGAGGGATCCATATTTATAGTCATGGTGGGAACTTGAGATATGTCTGCGCGTCGGGAATGATGTCGTCCCTCACTTTCAAACTACTTGTGCAAGCAAATAATTATAGGTATGTGGTCACATTCTCACTTCGTTCAAACACGCCAATGACCTCGGTGACAGAGGCTTATTTGGTGCTTAGGGGCCTCAGGATAGGGGGCACTCCACAGAGCACGGCTGATGCTTGCCGATCTTCGCCAACTGCCACACCTATCCTCTATAGTTGTATTCCTTCCCACAGCTTTCGACTTTTAGACGTCATAGTGGAGGGTTGGGGAGATGTAGGTATATAAGGGATGCGCAGCTTGACGTTTCGAATACTGATTCTACATTGTGGGGTGAGTCCTCGATAAACTCACATACTCTGTTGAGCTAACGTGAACTTTCGCAGTTGCGTATGTTCATGCATAGCAGGTAATTTTGTCAGCTTTAAGGTTGCCCGTTCTGACGCCTGTCAAGATGTGTTCGAGTGCATCGGCAGTGCCATAATGTGCGTTGTTGGCGCGATTGCCGGAGGAATTGAATGCATAATTGCGGGTAAATTGGTGATTTATACATCCATACTGAATGTAATAGCGCACACACAGCGATAACGTCGTTTATAGTGGGAATTGTGGATTGCTTGACTTGTCACTGTTGTAGATGATGATCTAAATGAATGACGTCGGAGATCGGATACATATGTTGCAATGATCGGCAAACAGAAGCAAACAAGAATTTTTGGTAATCTAAAGATAGCCGAATTTTTCTCTTCTTCTTCTCTTCTTCCTTTCCACTCGCAATCGTTGAAACAGGCGACCGAGTGGCGAGGAAGACGACTTCGATATTCGACAGATAATATTACAACCATGCCACAACAAAATTCCGCCCCTCCCGTCCCCTCAACAAAGACCTTCTTGCCTCGCACCCAGAGTGCGTCGACCATCATGCCCGCGCCACCAGTTACCTCTGCTTCGGTCACCGATAATGGTACTGAGCGCATGGAGGGAATCCTAGAGCTTGCTGATGGCTCTGCTTTCCGAGGTATTAGCTTCGGTGCAGAAGGGAAGAGCATCGCAGGCGAATGCGTTTTTCAGACAGGTATGTCGGTAAATCGTTTCTAGCATATAAAAGGTCTTATGCTCGACAAATAGGAATGGTTGGATACACTGAATCTCTTACGGATCCTTCTTATCAAGGCCAGATCCTTGTCTTAACATACCCATTGATTGGAAATTACGGTGTCCCTGAACGGCCATGGTCGCTAGACACCCTTCCGGCTCAGTTCGAGTCGTCACGCATCCATATTTCAGCCCTCATTGTTGGTTATTATTCTGAAGACTTCAGCCACTTCCTCGCCAAGTCCTCACTGAGCGAATGGCTCAAAGAAAACGGCGTTCCTGCCCTCTTCGGCGTCGACACTCGAGCCCTCACGAAAAAAATTAGAGAAAAAGGTTCCATGCTTGGGAAAGTCCTCGCAAGGAATCTCAATGGCTTCTCTCCTAGCCGCCCCAATCCTCTCCTTTCGTCACTCCCCGCTCCATCAAGTCCTCCCACTCCCTACTCATGGCGCGAAGAATTTATTGACACTCCTTTCATCGACATCAACCAGACTAACCTCGTCGCCGCTGTATCTATCAAGGCTCCACGTTTGTATAAGCCCACCGTTGCACCCAAATTACATCCCTCCGGACGTCCTTTCCGTATCCTTGCACTCGACGTCGGCATGAAATACAACCAGATCCGCTGCTTCATTAACCGCGGCGTCGAGCTCAAGGTTGCTCCTTGGAATTACGACTTCCTATCGGACTCAGAACCTTACGATGGTCTCTTCATCTCCAACGGTCCTGGAGACCCAACCATGATCCCAGAGACTGTGGCGCGCATTGCCAAGACTATGGAGAAGGCCGACCGCCCTATCTTTGGTATCTGTCTCGGTCACCAGCTTATGGCCTTGGCCGCTGGTGCAAAGACCTCCAAGATGAAGTACGGAAACCGTGGCCAAAACATTCCCTGCACAGACGCCCTCTCTGGTCGGTGCTACATCACCAGTCAAAATCACGGTTACCAGGTCGATACGGCCACCCTCCCCGAGGGCTGGAAGGAACTTTTCCACAACGCCAACGACAACAGTAATGAGGGTATCTACTGTGTCGACAAGCCCTTCTTCTCCGTCCAGTTCCACCCCGAATCCACACCTGGTCCTCGCGATACCGAGTTCCTCTTCGACGTTTTCCTTCAGAACGTCGCGGACTGCGCTGCTACCAACTCACTGGTCCCTATTTCCATGCCTGGTGGCAAGAAGGAGGACAACGAGAGCCGCGTCCCACGCGCCAAGGTCTCCAAGGTCATCATCCTCGGCTCGGGTGGTCTCTCCATCGGCCAGGCCGGTGAATTCGACTACTCCGGCTCGCAGGCGATCAAGGCCTTGAAGGAGGAGGGCATCTACACGATCATGGTGAACCCCAACATCGCCACCATCGCCACCTCGAAGGGCTTGGCGGACAAAGTCTACTTCCTGCCCGTCACCCCCGAGTTCGTGCGCAAGATCATCAAGTTCGAGAAGCCGGACGGTATCTACGTCACCTTCGGTGGCCAGACCGCGCTCAACGTCGGTATCAAGCTCAAGGACGAGTTCGCCGAGCTTGGCGTGCAGGTCCTCGGAACGCCCATCCAGACTATCATCACGACGGAGGACCGACAGCTGTTTGCGTCGGCGATGGAGGAGATCGGCGAGAAGTGCGCGGAGAGCTTCACGGCGACCAATCCTGATGACGCGGTTGCGGCTGCGAAGACTATCGGGTTCCCGGTCATCGTGCGCGCTGCGTATGCGCTAGGTGGTCTGGGATCTGGATTCGCACAGGACGAGGCGCAGCTCCGCGCGCTTTGCGCGAAGGCGTTCGCTACCAGCCCCCAGGTTTTGGTCGAGAGGAGCATGAAGGGCTGGAAGGAGATCGAGTACGAGGTCGTTCGTGATTGCCGTGATAATTGTATTACGGTTTGTAACATGGAGGTACGTCCTACTACAAGTATCTGTTTTGGGAGACGAGGCTGACGGCGCCGATAGAACTTCGACCCTCTCGGCATCCACACTGGCGACTCGATCGTCATCGCGCCCTCGCAGACTCTTTCGGACGCTGACTACAACATGCTCCGCACGACTGCCATCAACGTCATTCGTCACCTCGGCGTCGTTGGAGAGTGTAACATCCAATATGCCCTCAACCCCGACTCGCAGGAATACTGCATTATCGAGGTGAGAAATTCCTACATATATGCGTTTATTTGACTAACCACGATCTTCCAGGTCAACGCCCGTCTCTCTCGTTCCTCCGCCCTCGCCTCCAAAGCAACCGGCTACCCCCTCGCGTTCATCGCAGCGAAATTGGGTCTCGGCATCCCCCTCAACGAGATCAAGAACTCCGTCACAAAGGTCACCAGCGCGTGCTTCGAGCCCAGCTTGGACTACTGTGTCGTGAAGATCCCCCGCTGGGATCTGAAGAAGTTTAACCGCGTCAGCAGGCTGCTTAGCAGCAGCATGAAGAGTGTGGGAGAGGTTATGAGCATTGGTAGGACGTTTGAGGAAACCATTCAGAAGGCGATTCGGGCTATTGATGACTCGTTTTCTGGGTTTGCGAAGGTACGCTCATTTGTTTACTATGGGCCAGATAAGTTTTAATGGATGTTATTTAGAATGACTTCGTTGAGGACATCGATACGGAACTCCTCAACCCCACCGATAAGCGCATCTTTGCTATCTCCTCCGCCTTCCACAGAGGATACAGCGTGGACAAGATCTGGCAAATGACCAACATTGACAAGTGGTTCTTGACGAAGCTCGAGTACATCTTCAAGATGGAGAAGCGCCTCTAGTACGTTGTATTAGCTGGAATTGGCTGTACCTTCTAACTTTTCTTGACAGTACCTGCAACGTCTCGACCATCTCGCCGACCCTCCTTCGCCAGGCTAAGCAGCTCGGATTCTCCGACCGTCAACTGGCCAACTGCATGAGCTCAACTGAGCTTGCTGTGCGCCGGCTTCGTCAGGAGAACGGCATTATGCCGTTCGTGAAGCAGATCGACACCGTCGCTGCCGAGTTCCCCGCGTTCACGAACTACCTCTACACGACGTACAACGCCTTCGAACACGATGTGTCGTTCAACGATCGTGGTGTCATGGTTCTCGGATCCGGTGTCTACCGAATCGGATCCTCCGTCGAGTTTGACTGGTGCGCGGTCCGTGCGATTAGGACTCTACGCGAACAAGGCCTCCCCACTGTCATGGTTAACTACAACCCGGAGACTGTCAGTACCGACTACGACGAGGCCGATCGTCTGTACTTCGAGAACATCAGCTTGGAGACGATCCTTGATATTTATGACGCTGAGCAATCCCGTGGTGTCATGCTTTCCATGGGTGGTCAAACTCCCAATAACATCGCCCTCCCGCTGTACCGCCAGAATGTCAAGATCTACGGAACGTCGCCTGAGATGATCGACACTGCCGAGAATCGCTTCAAGTTCTCGCGTTTGCTCGATGCTATTGGTGTTGACCAACCTTTGTGGAAGGAGCTTACCAGTTTCGAGGAGGCTCTGGCGTTCTGCGACAAGGTTGGCTACCCAGTGCTCGTGCGTCCCTCGTACGTGCTCTCTGGCGCGGCGATGAACGTCGTGTCTACTGGGGATGATTTGGAGAACTATCTCACCCAAGCCACTGCCGTTT